TAGAACTTTTATATATATTTTTTCAAATTCTTATGATAATCAAATTTAAATTTATATAAAAATAAAAACATTATCGATTTTTCAAAACTACATAAAACCGTATTATAACATCCACAAAGACAAAGAATAAAATGAAACATTATGTACATCATTGCATTACGCGAGTACCCTTCTAGTTACTTTTGAGTCCGTAAAAAGGAATATTTTTAAACAGTTATATTAAAATAGAGATTTTTAATATTAAGTGATATTTTTTAGTTTAAAAAGAAAAACATTTAATGTTCCAACAATTATGTCATCATGTATGCTAAAATAGAGAAAATAAAAGAGATGTTGGGAATCTCGGAATGTGAAGAAAATTTCTAAAACTCATTATTTAAATATGAGAAGTAATATTTAATTTTTTTTATCGGTAGAAGACATTGAAATTAAATATATAAAAAAATAATATTTTATTTAATGTAAAATATTCCTTAAAAATATTTAACAAAATCCAAACACCATATTATTATTTGTTCATTTCTAATTAGGACGAAGTATGAATACCTTTGTTTTTATATATCTATACTATATTATAAAGTATTTGACAAAAACTCTAAAAAATTATTTTTTATTCATTAAGTATTGTTTATTGATGTGTATTACCTAAAATTCAAGATTACAAGTAAATTATGTGTATGTACAACTTATTACAGCTCCATGTTTAAATTCGTGTAACTAACTGCAGATAAATATAATCAAATATTGGATATGTATCTCATTTTTATGTATAAAAAATCTAAAATATATTTAAGATAATCATTAAATTCTAACAAAATATTAATTATTATTTTTATTAAAAAATTATATTATGAAACAAAAAATAAATGACTTCATTATTAAATATAAATTAAATTATAAACAAAATATTGAATTAAGTAAATTACACAAAAAAACGAGAACTTTAAATAGTAAATTTGATACTATTATCGATATATATATTTTTCCNAAATTACACAAAAAAAAAACAAAAACTTTTAAATATTTAATTTGATACTTAAATCAATACATTTTTTTCAAAATTTTATTATATCTTCAAATTTATATTTTACTAAAAAAATAAAAACATTATCGTTTTTTCATTACCACATAAAATCGTATAACAACATCGACGGAAACGGAATAAAACAAAACATTAAAATTGAGATGTATGTTGCTGTATTGCACGAGTACCCTTCTAGTATTGATATATGATAATTTACAAATTAACTTTATAACATTTAAAATGAGATGTTTATGCATCAAGTACTGTTTATTGATACATATTACTTAAAATTCAGCATTACAAATAAAATGTGCGTAAATGCAACTTATTAAAACTCTATATTTGAATTAGCATAACTAATTGTAGATAAATATAATCAAATATAAGATAAACATATCATTTTAAATATAAAAACTCTAAAATATAATTAGAATAATCATTGAGTTCTAACAGAATACTTAATTATTATATTTATAAAAAATTATATCATTAAACCGAAAATAAATTACTTCGCTATTAAACCTAAATTAATTATTATAAAAATTTGAATCAAAGAAATTACACAATAAACAAGAATCTATAAATAATTAATTTGATAATAATATCGACATTTTTTTTCAAATTTTTATGAGATCTTCAAATATAAAAACATTATCGTTTTTTTCAAAACCAAATAAAATCATATTATAATATGGACATAGACAAAAAATAAAACAAAATACTAAAATCAATATGCATCAAACTGCATTGTACGAGTACCCCTTTTTTTATTAACCTGGATATCCAACTCGTTATGTGAGCAGACTAATCTCTAGACAACCACATGCTTTGCAGATAGTCTGGAGTCACCACATTTGAACCTCCATGGTCACAAGGGGATTTTTATTTCTCCTTGGATTTGAACCTGGAACCTCCAGATACTTTTAACTTATGGAGTCAAACTCAAACCAATCAGACACCACTCTTATGGTTAAGTACCCTTCTTTTAATATCTAATAAAATAAATATCGGAGTTAAAATTATTAATACTTTATTTATAAATAAAAAAACATTTAAAATATAATATATGGGAGGAAATGTTCACATGTGATCGGGAGACATGTGAAAAACTAAAAGAACCTTTTATTATTCTTTGCCCTTTTTTGTTGGTTGTCCTAATATTCCATTTTTTATGTTGAGATTTTAAGTGAAATTAATTTCTATATTTTATTTTAATTTTTTTATTTAAACCTTTATTTAATTTGATCAAATTGGATTAAAAAAGCAACATCTTTTTAAAATCAGAATTTATTATTTCATATATTTTTAAGTTGGATTTAGGTTATGTCTGATAAAATTGACGGGTAAATTGCATGAAAAGATAACGTAGTTTGCTTTGATTCATATTTTAGATAATGTATTTTAAAATTTTCGTTTTGGTACATAAGATGTAAAGTTTCAAATGTTTAAGTATTTGGATAACCGGGTCACTAATGGGGTGAGTAATGTGGTATTCAACTCGGTATTATTTGCTGACGTGACTAGTGACATAGATTTTTGTAAATGTAAGTACTTTTTTGGTATATTTGTTTCATTTTATAGATATAAGTACTCTTTTGGTTCAAAAAGTGTTTAGGAACTTAATCTTTAAAAATATGAATGTTCATTGGCCTTTTTTAATACTTAAACTATTGTTTTACCACATTAACCAGTTGTATAGTTCATAAGAATGTATCTAACAGGTTTTAGAAAGTTCAAGGATTTATTTAACATGTTTTGAAATATCCAATGACTTATTTGTTTCAAAAAATTATCCAATGACTTAATCATTCAAAACACTAAAGTCCATTGGTTTTTTAGACTTTTTCTTATTATAAAATACTGTAAATTGATTAATTTTTTCAAGACATCTTTTTTGGTCATTTTACATGTTTATAAATTAGTTTTTGTCAAATATGATTTGTTCATCGGCTAGCTTATCAACTAGTTTGCCAAATATAGCCAAAGTTTCAACCGGATCGATAAAAATGATGGTATAAATGTAATGGCGCATGTGGTATATGAAACGATGACAAACATATGGTATTATAACTTTTACAGTAAACTACGTTTTTTATAAACAACTCCCAATTTTGGCCAAAATCACATTGAAGATTATCTATACTATATTATAAAATATTTGACAAAGATTCTTAAAAACCATCTTTTATACATAAAATATTGTTTATTAATGCATATTACTTAAAATTCAAAAATACAAGTAAATTATGCGTAAGTATAATTTATTAAGCTCAATGTTTGAATTCATGTAACTAACTGTGGATAAATATAATCAAATACATGATAAAATTCTTATTTTAAGTATAAAATCTAAAATATAATCAAGATAATATTGAGTTCTAGTACTTAATTATTATCTTTATAAAAATTATATTAATAATGAAAATTTTAAAATAAAGAAATTATACAAAAAAATGAGAACTTTTATATATATTTTTAATTTTTATGATATTTTCAAATTTATATTTATTAAGAAAAGCATTATTGTTTGCTCAAAACCACATAATTCGTATTATAACATCGACAGAGACCAAAAAAGTAAAATGAAACATTAAAATCGAGATATATCTCGCTGCATTGCGCGAGTACCTTTCTAGTATACCTAAATATCAAGATTTACACATTAACTTCGTCCAAAATCTTACAAAAAGAATAGAAATATCAGTTATATCATTCAATTCAACGTTGACTTAAACTCTAAATGATAAAGAATACAAGTCCGGAGCCATTTTGTAAAACTTAAAAAAAAAACTAAATTTAAATATAATCTTAGGTTTTAAAAGTAACGTAACTCATAACAAACTCTATGATACAACTCTAAACGACCCTACCCCATACCACCAACCAACGTCAACGTCAACGTCGTCTCTCCTACCCCACATCAACGATAGCCACTCGTGTCGTCTTATCTCTTCCTTATCGCTTGTCACACCCTTGACGTTGCACATGCTTCACCTTTTTTCCCTTCACGACAACCCCCTCTTCCTGTCGTTAGCGACAATCCCTTGCCCCTAGCCCCATGGTAACGAAAATCCTCGTATTGTATTTTTCTTATATATTTTATACCAAACATATTGTATCCTTGAGTTACTGGTGGCATTCTCCTCATAGGCCAACCGTTAAGAGTTCTTTCAAGTCCGCTATTTCAACACCCTCCAAGGCAGTCTAGGATTTCCCTGCCTGTTTTTAGGAGGACCATGTAATTAGTCAAGATACGTGCAAGCTGACTTGAACATTCGTGATAAAAAGTCATCATGTATGCCATATGGATCAAATTGGTTATAAATCACATCAATTAAAAAGTTAAATCCATCTTTTTTTTTCATTTATTTAAAATTTATGCGAAATTGAGGATAATGTGAAATATCTTTCAAAAAATTTGTTTTTATAGAGTATCAAATATTAATATGTTAACAGAATCACAATATCATACGTAATTGTTTGATTAAACGTTTTTGGCTCTCCATGTTTTTTATATACAAGAAAGGTCAAAAATATCTTTCTAAATCTAAAAGATACTAAGAGTTCGTCTACCAAACCTTACCAGATAAATATGGCAAGGGTCAAAATCTTAACGGCAAAAGCAAAGACAATGATCTAGAGTCTTACTGATAAGTGATAGCGACGACTCTTATCATGTTTAATATTTATCGGGTAAATTATTGCATACGATACCATTTTAGTTGTCTAAAATCCTACTTGGTAAAATAAATAACAGTGTTGAATTTTATCGTTAAAACGTTCATCAGGGAAGAACCTGCTAGTTGATCTACCGAATCAACTTCTGCCTACCCCGCCCGGTCAAAGATCGCGAGGGGAAAGAATCAATCCATAGCCGGGTTTTTTAACTTTTGAGGATCCTGACCCGGTTTTGCAAACGCTGAATTTAAGAATGAGTGATTGTCTTTCTCGGACCCTTACTGTCCAACCTGACAGCGGACAGCTAATGCGTACCACTTATTGAACAGGGTTTTATTGTCCGTCCGTGATTCCACCGGATTCCACAACCGGACGAATCACATTTACATGTCTCTCTAGTATCTAAAGTGGTCAATTTCCTTTGATAATATTCCTCGTGTAATTGAACCGTAAACAAAAACCCAAGATCCTCAAAAGGGGCTGCAGCAGGTCAGGGTCAGGCCCCTGCTACAGAAGTTGACTATCAGTATTTGACTACCTCCATCTTCATTTTCAAAACTCCTTTCCTCGAATTGAATATGTGAGATGCCAACGATTTTGCTCTGATCTACAATCTGGACTATCCAACGACGATTCTGACATCCGATTTGTAGGTAATTTGGATCCCTAACCATTAGTTTTTTCACTTGCTACATCTCGTTGATGCTTGAACTAGATCTTAGTTTCTTTTTGGTTCTTAATTACAACAATGATGCTGCATTGCTCTTTGTTCTGATTTCATGTAATCGTGTAGTAGTTATCGTTCTTGGTGATGCGTTTATGGAACTGTTTTGATAATTTAGGTTAAACATCAAGCATGTAACGTACTAGTTTTTTTTTCCAAATTTAGAGATGTGATTTGACTTCTATGGTTGAAGGGGTCATTTTTCATGTTAAGCTAGTTCTTATCAATTTAGAAACCGGTGATATTTGATTATTTGGTTGCAATTTACCATCGATTTTCTAAATTTGCAGTACTTGTTGTTAAGTTCGATTTTGTTGGCGTAATTTAGAAAGAAAAGCTTATAACTAAATACTCGTTCATTTTCTAAGTTGAAAGTAAATTATGGAAAGAGAATCAACATCTTTTCACTAGTGCTTGGTTTTGCTGCCATCATCCTACTAGTTGGTGCTGCTTGTTCATATATCACGTTTGTCCCCAAAATTGTTGGCTTTGCACTAGTATTTGAATGAATTGATATGAACAGCTACGAATGCCACCAATTCAATCTTTTTCCTATTTTTAAATCAATATACCCAGTTCATCTACCTAGTTAGATGGACCAAGTGTTTTTATGCATCATAAATAATAACTGGACTAACACTCTTCAGCTTGAATTGAAAAGCTATGCATCTTAAGCTTTGAATTGAACAAAGAATAGTTGATTCGATCTACTTTCATGTATTGTCCTTACCTTCCTATCGTTAATGTAAATCTTGAAATATGATAGAACTCCCTCCTAGCTGCAAGTAGCATAGCCATGCATAGTTAGAGGATGGTCATTGATAGATGAACTGATTGATTGATCAGCATTCGAATATAACATAATGATGTTATGTTATTGTCATATAATCCTAATGTCTGATACTTGTAAAGAATTACTATACCAAAATACAATCATATGACCTCCTTTGGTCGAGTAATCAAACTTGTTTGCTCAAGTGCTACTCAGCTTCGTCATTCTTTAGCAACCATCAGTCTTGTCTTCCTCACATATTTTTTGCCCATTATTAGAACTCGTTTTTTCATATTGTCGTTTCCTGCAAGTTTAAATGTCCAATTTAATCCCTTTCTTTTTCCCTTTCCAATATATTCTTGCAGGTGCATCTAATATCCTATGGCTTGACAAGATTTTGGTAATGAAACAAGTATAGATCATAGTAATAGATGAAATTATATTAACGAAGTGGAGTAGACAAGTGCCCGTGTTCTGTCTCCAAACTAGAGAAATGGGCATTGCTACAATTCCAACACGCTATTTGATCGTCATTTTAACGTTCATATGTACCGCTGTATGTTACATTGAACGCGTGGGCTTTTCAATTGCATATACAGTTGCTGCTGATGCTGAAGGAATAAGTCAGTCAAGCAAAGGCACTATACTTTCAACATTCTATTATGGATATGCTTGTTCACAGGTCCCTGGTGGATGGGCGGCTCAGAAAATAGGTGGAAGGCGTGTACTTCTTCTCTCTTTTGTACTATGGTCTCTAACTTGTGCTTTGGTACCACTTGATCCAAACAGAGTGATAACCTTAATTGTAGCTCGATTACTGGTTGGAGTAGCGCAAGGTTTCATTTTCCCATCCATCCACACTGTTTTAGCTCAGTGGGTACCACCACATGAAAGGTCAAGGTCTGTTTCTCTAACAACATCAGGAATGTACTTGGGGGCAGCTATGGGCATGCTTCTGCTTCCTAGCCTTGTGAAGTTTAGGGGCCCACAATCTGTATTTCTTGCTGAAGCAGCTTTAGGTGGCATGTGGTCTCTCCTTTGGTTCAAATGTGCCAGTGATCCACCTCGCTCCCAACATCCAAAAGCAGCTGCTTCTGGTTTTGGTGAATCATTGCTGCCAGTCAAAGAGGGTCGTATTGAAAAGACTAAAAACGATAGAACCAGTCATATCCCCTGGCGGAGAATCTTCTTCAGCTTACCTGTATGGGCTATTGTTGCGAATAATTTCACCTTTCATTATGCTCTGTACGTGCTTATGAATTGGCTACCAACCTACTTTGAGCTAGGTCTCAAGTCCAGTCTCCAGGAAATGGGCTCTTCAAAAATGATGCCTTATTTGAACATGTTCTTATTCTCGAATATTGGTGGAGTGATTGCTGACCATGTGATAACTAAAAAAATCATGTCTGTAACAAAAACAAGAAAGGTCTTGAATACCGTAGGATTTGCAGTGTCTTCATTTGCATTGATTGCAATTCCCCATTTCAGAACACCCGATGGTGTAGTGCTCTGTTCTTCTTTGGCTCTCGGTTTCTTGGCATTAGGAAGAGCCGGGTTTGCAGTGAATCACATGGATATTGCTCCTCGGTATGCTGGCATTGTGATGGGAGTCTCTAATACAGCTGGGACTTTAGCTGGCATTATCGGGGTTGGACTAACTGGTCAGCTTCTTGAAGCTGCTAAAACTACAGATTCAGATCTTTCGAGTCCTGATAGCTGGAGAGCAGTGTTTTTCATACCAGGATTGCTCTGCATTCTAAGTTCGCTTGTTTTTTTGTTATTTTCAACCGGGGAGAGGATATTTGACTGAGGTAAGTCTGTTTTCCTATAGTTATAGATTATATGATATACATATCACTTCTTTTTCCAGCATTCCAATTTTTCAATAGAGATATGTTCAGCTTTACAGTACTGCCTAAGAACACCTGTTCTGCAAATAGTCAACATTCATTTCCATGTTTTTGGTGTGTATGAAACTTGACATCATGAAGTACCCAAATTTTGGCATGCACACACAGCCATTATACATGTAAGAGGACTTTGGAATAGAATTCTTGTGCAATGATGGCTTTAACTTGCAGAGGATTCTCTTGAGTAATTGAAGTAATTCCTATCATTAACATTTATTTCTTGGAGAGAATCTAAGAAGGTATGATCAAAACGTGTGAATTACTTTCATCTTTATCGTACTTGGCAGTTGGCACTTTGTATCGAAACGACTAACCATATTTGAAAATTCTTTAAAAAACTGTATACTTGCAAAGCATGGACAAATTTTGATGTGTTTAGTTGTTTTCTTTAAAACTGAAATCAAGTGTACAGATATTTTTGTTTTTTCGATTGCATATAATTTTTTGAGATTTTTCCAACTACAATGATTGTTTTGGTACAAAACAATGGTTACATAGTTAATCGAGTCTAATCCAAAAGCCAGAGTCGCTAAGCGTAAAAACCATTACCATGGTTGCTTTGTTTACATTTGTCGTGTTCAGTTCGTCATGTCTGTCTGTGGTGTTCCATATTAAGTAACTTCATGTAGATTTTACGTGTCTGAGAATACAAAGTTATATGTTTTTCCCTTGCAGTATCTAGTAAAACCATATATGCTCCAATTACACCAGAGCTATACTACAAGCACTTTAATGTGTTTGGTACGCTAAATGAGACAGGACATGACAGAACAAAAACTTGTTGTCCCATGTTTGGTGCCGCAATAAGACTGAGACTGGACAAGAATTGGTGGGACAAAAAAGCATTTTTTTTGTCCCACCAAGTTAGGTGGCACAAGAATCAAGGAGATGAGACAAGCTTGGTAAATTACTAAACTACCATGTCAAATTAAAACCTTCCACAAT